AGCACAGTCTCCTGAGCCTTTAAATCGATTATTTTCGCGTTCATTCATAGGAGAGATGCAAGTTTGTGGTATTTGACAACTTGCAGGTTCACCACAAACCGCGTCGCTTTGAGTGACGTCGTTCCCAACGTCATCTTCCGGAGCTTCGCCGCTATCACTGATAAAAGTGTGGCCGTCATCCACACACTTGGAACGATCATCTATGTTCCTACACCTATCATCCGCACCCTCAGCCCCAGCATTCCCACTCTTGGCCCCATCATCCATGTCTCTCCACCCATCATCCGCCCCCTTGGCCCCATCAGCAAGATAAGAGCCCATCAGAGCTCCATCATTCCCACCCTTGGCCCTATCATCCGCGCCTATGCACCTATCATCCACACCCTTGGACTCATCATTCATGTCCCTGCACCCATCATCCACATCCTTGGCCCAATCATTCCCACCCTTGGCCCTATCATCTTCGCCTATGCACCCATCACGCCCGCCCTTGGCCCCATCAGCCAGGCCTGCCCCTAGGGCGGCGACGTGGGCCCCACACTGAGCGAGGGTCTTGGCCGTGCGCTTGCCGAGGCAGGGGACGGGGGCGAGTCTGTAGCGCCGCTCCTTGCTCTCGTGCACCACAGCCCCGTGGGACAACTGCCACGTGGACGGTGTTATTATTATTATAATTATTAATATTATTATTATTAGTAGTAGTAGCAGTACGGTAGTAGTACTAGTAGTAGTATTAGTATTGTTATTATTATCATTTTTATTATTATTATTATTAACATCGCGGCTTCGTGATAAGACCAACAGTCATATACAGTTCAAAATAATAATAATTATTATTAGGGTATTATTAATATCGCGACTTCGTGATAAGACCAAAGGTCATATTGAGTTCAAAATAATAATAATAATTATTATTAATATCGCGACTTTGTGATAAGACCAACAATCATATTGAGTTCAAAATTAAATAAAATTTCTCTCTCAGTAACAAGGCAAGTAATTCATGACATAAAAGTAATAAGAAGCACCTGGTGCTGGCAGAGGGCAGTGAGGGGACGCACGAGGGCGGTGTAGATGTGAGGGCGGCCCTCGAGGGCAGCGAGGGCGAGCGCCGCGCACTCGACGGTACTGACGGCGGCGTCGCTGGGCTGCGTCCTGATCACGTAGTGGCTCACTACATCACTACGCACCACTACCTGCTGGTGATGTGTCCTGATCACGTAGTGGCTCACTACATCACTACGCACCACTACCTGCTGGTGGTGATGTGTGGTGATGTGTGGTGATGTGTGGTGATGTGTGATGATGTGTGTATCACTGCGTTCACTCACGGCTAGACAGCCTGTATGGCTCTATCCTAAACTCAACCCAAAAATATTGAACAATTTTCATTAACTCGACCATCATCATCAATAAACTCAACCTTCATCATCAATTAACTCAACCTCCATCATTAAAGTCAACCTCCATAAATAAACAGAACCTTCTTGAAGGCGCGTAGCTCCTTGGAAATATTAAACCATTTTCATTAACTCAACCTTCAACATCAATTAAGGCAACCATCATCAATTAAGTCAACCTCCATCATCAATTAAGTCAACCTCCATCATCAATTAGCTCAACCTCTCTGAATAAACAGAACCTTCTTGAGTGCGCGTAGTTCCTTGGTCTTGTACATGATGGCCCTGGCCTGGTGCCA